CTGGTGATCTCATGCCCATCTTTTTCCTATTACTAACCAATTCTTAGGATTCGATTGTCCTACTTTATTTTCGTTCAACACAGCGGCAAGCTATAATACTTATATTTCAAGGCATTCTTCGACAAACATTCCCTTGATATTAATAAACGTACTTTTGGAAACTTGGCTTCCTCAAATTCTGTTGAAGTTTCCAGCCAAACCCATATCAGCTTGGTTAAATTTTGTTAATTCTTTTCCCGAGCTCCCATGTAGATTTGAAGCAGAAGGTTTTTCAAATCTTGTGCATGCAAATTTACGTGACATTCATCTTTCGGATGGCGAAAGTGTAGTCATACAAGAGGAGAAAAGGTATTTCTCAATGATTCGATATTTCGAGTGAGTTAAACTGTTCAAAAAAATTAAATTTCTTGCTGACAAAAGTCAAATATTTTAGCATCGGCGGAAGCATACACTAAAGCTTTTGCTAACTGCTTATCTTCTTGCCTTTTAGCGTTGCAATCATTAAGTTACCGCTATGCCAAAAAAAGAACTGGAAAACTGCATACTGAAAAGGTAAGAGCACAGCTTGGTTCCAAGTATTCTGGAGCAACATGGGTACGGAAAATTGTAATTCATAAACAGTAGTTTGTCCCTGCTTTACTTAACATTTTTTGCATTGGATTTGACCTTTTATTTGCCTTATTTATGGAAGTGTGTTCTTCACTTTGAAATTGGAATTGAAGCAATTGAATTCCCCTTTCTCTCGTCGCTGACAGCTTTTAAACTTCAGCTTGACGCTCAACTCATGTATCTTGACCTTGTTCCTTTAACACTCACAACACAAACTTTCACAAACTTTTACGAGCTTAGTGTGGTCATGTGTGCCCCTGGGGATAGGGACTTGACTTTATAACTTGGAACAACATTAGCACACACACACACACACGTGATAGCAAGTACGAATAAATGCACAAAAGTTTATGAGAATGTTCCTGCAGAACTTGGGTAAGTCTTAACTATGATTTACCAGGATCGTTGAATTGTTTCTTCTATAAAGTCAAAGACTTTGAAGATAAAATTCACAGATTTATTTCTCACTAGAAGTGAAAATAAAGAGGACACACCTATCGATACATGTATTTCAAGGTGTACCACGACAATCTCATCAAGACACATTACAAACAATATTGTCAGATGTTTTCCGTATAAGACGGCAAAGATCATTAACACGAAAAGTTCGTAGAATATGAGCTACGACAACTCATACAAATCACAATCGCTAAACGGAACTCATCTGTAAGTGTTCATTTATTTTTGATATCGTCTAAAACGTGAGTAAAGGTCTTGCTGCAGGTCCGGCTTTATCGCACTAATCAGTGGATCGATAGCGAATTGAATGGGTAGTTGACATTGTACTGGCGAAAAATAGCAGTTACGATATTTCTGTGAATCTGTTTCCTTCCTGAAATCATAAGTAATTTTAGCAACAATTAAAATTACATGTATCTCTGTAAGCAAGTGTTTTTTTTCTGGGAGAATGAAGGAAAGGTGATTTTAGGCTTCTTGGCAAGGTCATTCAATTTCCTTATTTTATCTAAATTAGTAAGAA